TTAAAACAAAGTTACATTGAAAGGGTGTTCTGTTCAGGATCACTGGGGAAAGCTATTTTTTTTGAGCCTCACCTGAGGGAAAGCTACTTAAGAAAGATAACGTGGAACAGAAGAGGATGACTGGCAAGGAGAAATGGGTAAAATGAGAAGAAGCAATAGCTGGAAGGTAGTATTGCACTGGCACAGGTTGCCCAGAGAGGTGGTAGATGCCCCATCCCTGGAAGCATTCCAGGCCAGGTTGGACGGGGCTCTGAGCAACCTGGTCTGGTTAAAGCTGTCCCTGCTCACTGCAGGGGGGTTGGGCTGGGTGAGCTCTAAAGGTCCCTTCCAACCCAAAGCATTCTATGATTCTATAGCATGTAGAGCCTTAAGTGTGGTTGGGAGACTTACTTGTTGAACTATCAGAAAGAAAAGCACACCCCAGAGAGACTTAAGAGTCAAATGAAATGTTCTAAGCACTCTGTAGAAGGCACTCATACCTCTAGCATGAGGTTGGGAAGCCCTAGGTGAAATCATTGTAAACTCATCTTACAGCTGTAGATTGCTATGCAACTTCCCAGTATGAGTCAGTGTCTTAATTTCCCTTCAGTTCAGGACACAGCATTCACCTGCGAATTTCTGATTGTCCTGTAGCTGTGATAGGGAAGACAGTGTGGGTAACCAAGAAAGAAAAATACACTATTCTGCACACCCTGGGTTTCTAGCCTGTCTCGTGAGCCTAGTCAAATATTACTAGAGGGCCCTTAAGGATGATCATATTTTGGTAGTTACCCACCTGCTCTTAATTAAGCAGCATACGGCATGCCAGTCTTTCAGCTTTGCTCAGTATAAACTACAGTGGTAAGAAGTCTTGATGAGGTTTTTAGAAAGGATCTACCTGAGATGAAATAGTGAGTGCTGGCTGGAAGGACGAGGTAAGATTCTTGCTTTGATATATTGCTCATATGTGTTATTTTTAGTACAACTAGAGAAGAGGAGGTATTGAGGAATTAGACTCTAACCAGAAATGTTACTTTCACTTCCTTTTAGAATTAGTATTTGGCCACAGTCATTCCACAACAAAAGTAATTAGATTGTGTTTTCCATAGTAGTACAGGTGGAATATACCCAGCTCTTCTTAGTGGGTGCTGTGATAATCGCATATGAGTTATTAACTTGGATATCTAGCGGACAATTTTTGATGTATTTCTGTATATAGTCATAAATCCTGAAACTAGTTAATTTCTTTAATGGACTGAAACTATCCCTTGTTTTCCAAATATCAGTGGTGACTTAAAGATGATAAAATAATTTGGTTTATGACTGAAATAGCATTCTTACCTGTCTCTCTTGTTTTTCTCTGAGAAAAGCAATATTTTGATTAAAGATACTGTTTTAGAATTAAAATATGAATCAAGAATAATGCTGCTAGGGTCGTGGAGTAGCACTAAATTTGTACCTGGACAGTTAGAGATTCAAAGATTGAAATCTGAGTAATTGAGTAGACACAGAACTTCTTTCTGGTGATTCTAATCTTCTTCTGGCTTGAGATTATCTTATGGCAATAAAATAAGAGTGAAAGGGAAATTCTTGAGAAATGGTTGATGTACAATAAAGATGAGCCTAACGTAAGTTAGGATCTAGAAAAGTTTTTAGCACCACAGCAGTATATCACATCACCATATATTAATAGCTTTTTGAAAACTTGTATCATAAAAATCTTGAGCATCATTTGAAAAATTATTTCAAAGAATAGGACCTCTGAGAAATGATTAAAAATAAATGGAGGAGGGAGTAGAATTACATAAGCAATAACTGAGTCAAGTTGAAGTATAGAGGAAATCACACCAGGTGAAGGAAACAGGGGAAAGTTTCCCTTTCTGTTATAGACTGAGCAATAAAGCAGTTTATTTCCTAGCTTGAGATAATATATTTTCATACGATTGGTGGGCTATGCAAATGATCTAAATTAATTGGTGTGGATAAGACCTTAATACTTACTTTCCTTATTTTTCTTTTGTAAAGCAGAAACTTTAAAAAATTATAAGTGATGAAAAGCAGGCATTTTGATCTGCCAAGGAACAATTTTTAGCCTTGCCTATAAGCTATAAAGTCCTGTTAGGGGTTCGTTATTAATCCAGATGGATTTGGGCCCTTGTCCTGTGGTTTGATAGTAAATCATTTAAGGTGAAGTTACAATTTGTTGAGTAAGAGAGATAAATCACAGCTTCTCTCTTGAGATCATATCACTGTATTAGTCAAGGCATGATAATGGTGGTGAATCAATTAGGAAGGGGAAAATTAACAGCACTGTCGTGTACTATGTCGCTGTGCATTAGTGGAGTAAAATACAAAGTTTTTAAGAACTGATTTTCAATATATTTGAAGTCTTCATTGTAATTCATACTGGCAGGACATATTAAGTTAAAACCAGGAAAACTGCTGACAAATGAAAAAATATGGTATTATACCGTTTGATATTTTAAAGGGGTGCTTTTCTCATTTCTGGTATGAAGTTAACAGCACTCTTAACACTGAGAGTGATTAATTATCTGAATTGAGTAATAGCTATCTCATGAGAACGCACAATATTAATTAACTTACAAAACACCTTAATTTTATTGTGTTCTTTTACATTAAAAATCCCTTGAGATTCGTTTAAGAGACAAAGGATTTAACGAACAAACTTATTTGGGCATAGAAGGCTGTAGCACTAAAATATGCTCTAGCAATAGCATGAAGATCAGAGGTGTATTTTTTTTTTTCTACTGCACATGCAGTACTTCCCGTGAAGCATCTTCAGAAAAAGAAATCTCTCACAAGTTATAATTGCTGATCCTTCTGTGAAGGACATACGGTTATGTGGTTTTCCTCAAAGGTGCTGTTCTGAACTCTCTCACACACACAAATAATCAGAAATTGTCATTCAGAAAGTAGCATTTTAATGTGTGTGGTAGTCGTTCTTTATGCTTGGGAGAATAGGTCAGTGCAGACAGATAGGAATGTTGAACATTGATAATGAAACGTGATGCAGTTTTACGTCTTTAAAAATTGAAGATGTGGCATACATTTTGATAATGGAATAATGGAGACTCCCTACCCCGACTATCATCTCTGTTCAAGACCATTAGGATTCAGAATATTAAGAGCAGAGCAACTGGGCGTAACAGCCTACGTTCAACATCTGTCACGCTGGAGTCCATTAGTGTTCAATTGCATCCTATTGTTTTTGGATTATTCAACCTCATTTCATTGTCATTGCTTCTGCTAGGGATTAATCAGCTGTTTACAACTACACCAAGTTTTGGAGTCATAATGGAAACAATTGAGCTATAGTTCTAAATAAATATACAGTATTCAGTCTCTAATGAAAAAAGTTGCTAATTTATGAATGCTGGTAACAATTTAATTAAGTTTGAAATCAATACAGATAATAAATTATTCTGTGGCAGGGTTTTTTCTACCTTTTGTGTATATCACAAAATGATCATATGGTATTTCCTTGTAAGTTTATGTAGATAATGGTTTTAATAATACAAGTACAGTAAAACAAAGATGTTTTGATTATGCAGGGGGGGTGGGGTGGTGTATGGTGGCTTCTCTATCATTACAATTGGTAGCAGAAATGATCCCTTACTGCCAGCAAGCAGACTTCTTTTTTTCACATCCTCTTTTATTCTCTTTACCTATTTAGGGACAATACTAAAAAGACGCTTTAAAAAAAAAAAAATTCACATAAAATACACATATATACTTTAAAGTGGTCTATTAAAAAGGGCAGTTTTCAGACTATTTGTATACTTACATGTTTTTCGGTACGCCTGTGTCCCAACCTATCCAAGATTTTTACAATCTTTATTAGATAAACCCATAGCTACATTTTAACTGTTTAAATATATTTCAGATTATTTTAATGACATTGGATTTGCTGACACGTGAATACATAATCCCCATTTTTCTGAAGGTACTACTCTCTCTGCAATGTTGTGTGCTTTGTACACTATTAAAGTTGTGAGTCCTGAAGGGTTTCTAATAATTTGAGTCTTCTTTTGGTACTGTGCAGTGCAAAACGGTAGTATTCTCTGCCATATACCATTAAGCTAGTTCTCCTCTGTTTCATTAGAACAGTTATTTCGTCTACCTTTAATACTATCTAACCAGAATTTTCACATTTTAATGCACAAATACTACAATGCACGGAGATTTTTTTTTTCCTGAGTTGCAACAGATTATCCATTGAAAGGATCTTTTGCTTAACTGCCCAGAGTCTTGTGGGGCCAGCCAGACACTACTCCAGATGGCAAGTTGTTAGGGCTGGACAGAATGGCTTTGGAAGACTTCTCAACAGATGAAGGCTGTAATGTTCGGATTTTACTGTTTGGGTTTTTTTTTTTTTTTTTTCCCCCTGTAGTTCCCAGGGTGGGAAGGTACTGGGATGGAAGCAGAGTGCCGCCCGCCCACCTGCTACCACCTGTTTAGCTTTTGCAGTTTCTATAAAGCCTCATCCTGTCTGCAAGACACAATCATTGCTTGCCGGCAGGAGTCAAGAAAGGAGAGATTTCTGTTACGAAGTTATGTCTTCAGATCGCAGCAGTGCATCATTTCAAAATCTCTCCTAAACTGAATCAGAGCTTCTTTCATTTGAAATGGTCATTTGGAATTGATGTGGTTTTAATCCATTAAGATCCTTTTTGAATTAAATGGACCATTTTCTTCAGTAACGTACATTTTGAGAATGGAGATTTCATTGTTTTCTATCTCTTTGAGTTTAAAGAAATGAAAAGAATGAAAGCATAAGACGTTAAAAACTCTTTATTCTTTCTTTAAACAATAAGAAGCAATTTCCAGATATTCCAGAAGAACCAGAAGACCTTTTATTTTATTACTATTTTTTTTTTAGATGCTAAGAAAAACATCCCATCATTGATATCTGGAAACAGATTCAAGAGGTACGCAGGCTACTCACACGAGTGCTTTTCCTACCACTCTTTAGATACTTAAATTTCAAAAAGTAATCTTTGTGTGTGTGAAACCGAAGCTGCATCGACTATGAAAACCTGTAAACCCAGTCATTTGGATTCAGGCGTAGAATCAGACATCCAGTGCCGAAGCGGACCAGGCTGCGTTGTGAAGTGCGGTTCAGATAGGATGGAGAATGCTGCAAAGAGAAGGCTGGCTGCCAACGCCAGGGAGAGAAGACGGATGCAAGGACTGAACACAGCCTTTGATCGTTTGAGAAAGGTGGTTCCACAGTGGGGTCAAGATAAGAAGCTGTCCAAGTATGAGACCCTTCAGATGGCTTTGAGTTACATCATGGCTCTCACTAGAATACTTGCCGAAGCAGAAAGATACAGCACTGAAAGAGAATGGATTAGCCTTCACTGTGAACACTTCCATCCGGAGAGCTACCACCATTACACAGGACAAAAAATGGCAATGGACGGTGATCCTTACACGCAGCGAATATTCAGCTATCACCCTGAACACTTTCAAATAGCTAATTAGAACTTTTTACGAACTAAGAATATGCAGCAGGCCAGATGTGTAATTTAATAATTAGCAAGAGTTAATCTGCTTGAATAAGGTAATATCGGCATTATAATAGCTCATTCTTGCTTGCATCTTATACTAATTTGACAAAATAAATTTGCTTTGAGAACTTTAAATCAATATGCATTTAAGGAGATTGCATTTATTTAACGCTGGCGGAAAGCATACTTTTAATTTGAAATCTTTCTGACAGTTTCTTCCTAGTTCATCTAGTTCATTTGATTCTTTTATTAAGTAAGGTTTTGGTGGATTTTTTTACTGTGATGAATCATGACAGTATTTTCTACAAATCACGGGCCAAAACGACCCATGGTGTGACTGAATGGAATTCCAGAAATTAACTTCATTCCATGTTTTTATTTTTATGTCAGCTTTACAGTTATTCTTTGGTTTGGTGTCACATAAATGGCTCCCATGGAAAAAGTTTTATAATGTATTGGAGTTCTAGTCCTCAGAGAACTAACTTTCTTAAACTTTGTAAGTTTGACGTATGGGTTCCAAGCTTGTGTAGATTTGCTTTAATCCAGTTGATGGTGTCTCTTGTATGCTCGAAAAAGAGCTAGTTTCAAGTTATGGAAGGAATGCTTTTATTTTCAGTGGCTGTAAAAGCACATGCGATTACATACCATAAATGAGAATGCTCACGTGAAAATAATCTAAACTTCTAGATTTTTGTAGACTTTAAATGTTTGGATTTTCTTTTTTAATTTTATGTTGTCTGGAAACAAGAACAGATTTTGTAAATCATAAATAAAGTGTTTTCTATGATACGTCCTCACCACCTACCTGAAATTCCTACTCTAGGAATTACTTACTAGCAGCTTTCCTACCCCAAACGTTACGCTACTTCCATCACAGTCCTGGCAGTTTAATGCGCAGAAGAAACAACTAGCAAATGCTGCTTGCTTCCCAGCTAGAGTAAGAAGTGTGTTTTATGTACCCTCTGAAAAACAGCTTTTAAAGATAAGAGTTTGGTAAAAAGTTATTTCAGCCCTGGTGATGCCCTGAATTGCCTTTGGTTTGTTTGCTGCTTTCACTTGTGGAGGATGGAGGGATCTGGGTAGAAAAGGCAGAAGAGGAAAGGAGGTTGGGTAGGTCAAAAAATGAGTAGGAGCAGGACAGCTCCTGTGTGTAGCAGGATGTAGAGTCTGCAGTTCGACTGCCGGTGTCTGTTGTGATGGCAGCAGACTGTGAAGCTGAAGGGTACTTCTGCCGGTGCCCGTTTCCAGAAACAAGCCCTTGCTAGTGTTAGCCATGAGGGAGAAGGAGAAAAGGAGCTGCTGTCCCAGAACAGCTGTTGGTGGGTTTCCAGCAGGGAAGGCTGGCAGCTTCCCTGCTGGCTGGTGCCCTATCTTATATTTTAGAATTCTTTCAAAAGACAAATGAATAGCTTTGGTACGCCCCCTGCCATATCTTATATTTTAGAATTCTTTCAAATGACAAATGAATAGCTTTGATATGAGTTATTTTCAACAATTAAGCAGCTTTCGGTGAAAAACGAAAGCATCAGTAGGAACTAAGCCCTGTTTTGGGGGAGAGGGGCTCTGCTGCAGGAACAGTTACATACAAAGACCTGACCTTGCTGTCTGTCTTCTCTCAGAACCCTTATTGACGTTTTGCCCTTGGTCACCGTTGTGCAGACCAGGGAGGGGAGTTGGGCTGTTCCTGGAGCGAAAGCTGCTGGAAAAGAATTTCAGGCTAGGTTAAACACATGTAGAAGAGGCACTGTGTATTATGAGCGTCTGTCTCCTTTAAATGCTGGCATTCAGGACTGTTTTTATGTATAATATTGGGTATAATTGGGTATAATATGTATAATATTGGGTATAATATTTTATGTATAATGTATATTTTAGCCTCTCTAAAGGTAGTGAGTAGTGTTAATTATTAAAACGTGGGATTTTGCTTCTTAAGAATTACATTAGATCTTTATGGGCAAACAGAAAGCAGATTCAACCTTCTGGGAATATGAAGTCATATTACCAATTTCTTTGCAGAAGTTTATATAGAGAGAATAGAATTAATTGTTGTCCATCATATAGCCAAGTTAATACTGTTTGAATATTATTCGTCATTAAGTGGCAAGTTTATGTATGTAATAACAATCAATACAATCCTTAAATAATTAAATGATGTGCCATCTTACACTGATTTATTAGCTATAAACTTTAGGCAGACATTGTCTCCCCTGCACTGCTAGCACCATAGTGGGTTTTCCATCCTGAAATGGGAATATGATGCAAATAAATTGCGCAATTGTATGATGTGGAAAACTTGGCTTAGTGAAAGATATCCTTCTAAACCTTAGGTGAGAAGGGTAATACAATATGAAAGCATAAATGCCAGAGTAGTGTGCAAGAACAGTACTGATGTGTTTCTGCACTACTGGCATATAATTTGATTTTGCGGGACATGACATTGCAGTTTATATGTAATTTACGTAAAAGTACTTAACATCCATTTCTCTACTGATTTTGTTTCTTCCATGCAGCGTTGTAATTTACCATCTGCTGCATATGATGATAGATGTAATTGTACAAATAATGGATTAGTATGCAGTGAATGATTAAATGACAGTAAGCTCACATAAGGAGGAACAAGGCAAAACATAGAATATCTGTGATCATGTTAGCAAAAATTAGTGAGAATTGAAACCGAAGTCCTATAAAGCACTTTAGTGCAGTACATAGCTTGTGAACACTTTGTAAATCAGGTCATTGCATCACTCTGCTGTTGAACAATATGATAAGATTATAATCCCCATTCTCTTAGATTTGGTTGTGATAGTGGAAGGTGAATGTTTTATTGATCTCTTTATCTATTGATAATAATTAGTAATATTACTAGTGGAAAAAATGTGATTTTATATAATGCTGTAGTATTTTTGTTTCTTGGGAGGGTGCAGTGTTGAGCTGGAAGTTAGGATTTCCAATTTACTATAACACAGAAGGCAGCAGAGTAAGTTCTTTGTAGTGTATAGACAGCTGTCTGTCTATTGATGATCTGTCAAAGCTTTTTAGGGAGTGAATTGGGGTGAGGGGGAAGTTTAATCATTAAAAATTCTTTTTCAAGATAGTCTGAAAAGCAGATATTATCCATGCTGGTTTGGACTTCTCAAATCAACAACTATTCAGCAAGTCATTGGTTGCTTTTCATAGCTTTCCTTTACAAATACTTTAGTGACACTTTGTGAAATGTAAACTTGACCGTTTAACTTGGGTTTGATTATTGCTCACAAATATTTGTTCCCCAGTGGCTGTTTGATGCTTCTTGGATAATGTCTGTGACCCTTCTTCTGTACTGGACTTTACTGCCATGGGCATTTGAAGGCCCCTCCCCTTAAATAACTCTTGCTTCCAATCAGCCTCCAAATGAAGCAAAAGCTTAGATGCTCAGAGCTTGGTGTGTTCCTAGTGACTGAGTTTTGTCTGCTCATAAATTTTTGTCCCACTGAACAGCAGTGCAAACCTGAAATACTTCTGTTTGTACTATCAGTACATTTTAATTCTAGAACCACATTATTGTGAAAACACTGGGGATGAGAAATGTTTGCTTCATTAAATATTTGTTGCATGCTGCGCACATACGTATTTCACTATTGAAATTCAGTGTGAAATTCCAATGACCTATTTGTGGGAAATTAACATTTATTCTTTTAAAAGGTTCAGACTGCAGGGTTTTCTATTTGAAGTAGCTGTAGATACTCGGCTTCTATGATTCTTTGAATCGTGTCATCCTGTTTTGACAAGGTGACCAGAGTTATTTTTGAACTAGGAGCTGGAGTGACATTTTTAACTGCAGTAACTTTTCAGTGGCTGAAAGCAGAACTAGGGTAGCACATTCCCAAAATGTATGTTAGCAATGAAAAGTCAGTGGTTTCTTCCTGTCTAGGTACTGAGGTCATCAGTGGATGTGTATTAGCATGTCTTACAACTTCAGTTCATTCCAATTTTTTAGGCTTCTATTTTCCATCTCACCATTTATAAGGTATTTAGGGCACAGTCCATCTTGTACTATACACACATACAGGACAAAGCTCAGTTCTTGGCTGGAATTCCTAAATGGTGCTGCAGTACAAATTCTGAAAAGTAAATGTGTTGCTAACTGTAGTTATAGTCTTGTAAAGTCAATGACATTACAACTTCTTCACGTGGGGAAGCATGAGTATCATTAAATTTTTTTTAATATTAGCTAAGTTTCCTATACCATGTTAAGCAGAACTTCCCTGGTGAAATCTCTGTGGAAGTCCCTGCTGTGATGTGATTCACTAGGCACAAATTTAAAAATACATGATTTCTGGTCAAATTTTTGATTTTCCAAGATAAGCTTTTGCCTTAAGATGGGTACCCTTACACTTCCAGCTCGTTTCCAGCTATTTGGACTAAGCAATATGGATGCAGTTTTCTGTAATTTAGGAGTGAAATTTAGCTAGATTTTTAAAATTCGGTAAGAATTTACAGAACAGCTTCTTTTTGCTCTGAATATGTTCAGTTCTAGCTCTACAAAATATCCAGGGAAAAACCAAATGCACTGAGAATAAAGACATGTTTATTCATTGGAGAAGCAGTCCAGTGTTGCCTCTACACAAATATCTTGTAACAAACGTTGATTTCACCTGGTACTTGGGCACTTTTAAAAAAATGCTTTATGTTCTTAACTTTAATTACATTTCAAGAAAACATGGCTTTTAAAAACCTAAAGCAACCCCGTGTATAATATTTAAATATATTTTCTACCAAAGAATACATTTTAATATTTTCTACTGATTTTTTACTAATTTGTAAGTCAGTTTTCATTTGTACAGAAATTAGCATGCAAAATATATTTTACACAGAATTTGCTTAAAATGTCTGCATATGTAACTCCAAGGAAAAAGAAGTTCATTTTTGAATGGCTTCTTACAGCCTGGGATACATAGTCTTTTTTTTTTCAAAATTTCAGAATGTCTTCAGTATTTTTCCATTTC